TGAGACAGGTGGATGATTAAAAAATGCACTGAGCATCTGTGGTAGTTATGTTTGTGTGTCAACTTGGCTGGGCCTTGTTGAGTGGCTGGGCAGCTGGTGGGAGTTATTCCCCATGATGAGACTGGCAATCAACTCCATGGTGGGATCTACCACAAGCAGCTGAGTAGCTGCCTGGGCATGTGGTCTGCCTGGGTATGGGTCTGCTTCTTGTATATAAGGAGAAGCCTTGGGAATGGTCTCTAGCTTATGGCACGCTTAGACCCTGCATGTAGCCATGTCATTGTTCAGCAGCCTGCCATGCTCTGCTGACCTTGGGACTTATAATGTACTTGAGTTAATGGCCTGCCATGTGGTTTGGTAACATCAGGACTGTGCCTTTTTACTTGTCAACCTTGGGCTTGGCAGCCTCAACAGCCAGCAGTTGTCTGAGTGAAGAAAAGCCTCTAGCTTCAGTGGGCTGGGAGCAGGAGGCAGAGATGGCTTTCACCCAGCCCCTAGAGCTTGGCACTTTGAACTTGGGTTTAAAGTCTCCAAATTGTAAGAATAAATTACTGTTGTTAAGGCCAGCCCATTTGTAGTATATTCCTGTCAGAGCAGCACTAGGTAACCAGAACAGCATCCTTCAAAGGACATAACCATTAGTACATTCATCGGAAAACAATTTATAGCTCTAACTCTTATTTATCTTTGTCATGCTTTCATTCATTCAGAAATCAGCAACTAAAAAAAAAAAAGAAAAAAATCCCTTGGACTATAAAGCATCACACACTTGGTCTCAGCCTAGGGTTGAAATGTTTGAAAAGTCTGTGATAAGTTGGCTTGGTTGTTTTTACATTATTTACTTTAAAATCTTCCTAAAGTTTTATATACATATATATATATAACTAATGTAATATATCCTCAGAATGTATTGGATCAAAATGTCTTTTGTGGGTGTTTTCATTTATAATCTGTTCCTTTTTAGTCAGAGAAATTCATCTCATTTCAATTCATATATTTCCAAACCAAAACCATACTGCTGGATATCCCTGCCAGGCCCCTCATACGTCTTTTCTCCCTTTGTACAATTGTCTTTAACTACAATTTGCTATAGAGCAGGATAAAAATAATTACAACGATTCAATTAACTCGTTTTTTTATTAAAGTACATACTTTATTCAGCTTCTCTCTTTTCTTTTTTTTTTTTCCAACCTAATGTCCTCCTTCTGGGAGCTCTCGTAGGGTAGTGCCTTAGGCATTTGACTGCTAACCAGAAGGATAGTGGTTCAAACCCACCAGCCATTCCTCGGAAGGAAAACAGGGCAATCTTACTTCCATAGAGATACCACCTTGGAAACCCAAGGAGGGGTCGCTGTGAGTCGGGTTTGATTTGAGGGCAGTGAGTTTGGTTTTTGTGGTTTGGTCCTCCTTCTGCAATTAACTCATTTTTAAGACTGAAAAATATTTCTAAAAGCAAATTTCCATCGCTCAGCTCTTTCTAAGCACAAGCTCAGAGTCTTTATTCCTACATAGGCCTATAAACAGTAACCAAAAAAATAAATAAATAAACTCACTGCCATCGAGTTGGATCTAACTCTTAGCGTCCCATCCTTGGGTTTCCAAGGCAGTATCACTACAAAAGTAGACTGCCCAATCTTCCTTCTGAGACAAACAGTAAGGTTATGTATAAATCAAAAAGGAGCTTTGGACATTCTGGTCATGGCCACAGTAGATGGATCCTGATACAATGGGACAAAAATGTGGAATAGAACCTCAAATTCTTTAAGGGGTAAAAAAAAAACAGACTTACTGGACTGGTTGAGACTGAAGGACTTCCCAAATCTATTGCCTTGAGATACTTTTTAAGCTTTGAATTGAACCTAGCCCTTAAGGACAGCTTTTAGCTAAATAACAGATTGGTTCAGTTCACAAAATAAAGAGTATCACATGTGAATACTGTGTTCCTTTAAAAAAGCATTGATATGACACCAAATGGTCAACAATTACTTCAAAACAAAGTTGAGAAGGTAAGGGGGACAGAGAAACTAGATTAACAGAAACAGAACCACCAGAATAGAAATAATGAGAATGTTCATACATTATGAAGAATGTAACCAATGTCACTGAACAATGTGTGTAGAAATTGTTGAATGGAAACCTAAACTGATATGTAAATCTTCACCAAAAACACAGTACTTTTTTTAAAAACGTCTTGGGCGATCACCCCAGTAGGAGCTTACCAAGCACTAGTCCATCTCTTGGAAACTCCCATCTCGAGTCATAAGGCAACTGCATGGGGTCCACATAAATATATTCATGTCCATCAGGGCTGATTGATTCGATGACCCTCCAACGAATTTCATACCTCGGTTTCTATAAATGACCAAGACAGGTAACTGGTGAGTTACCAAAGTTCAAGTGCACCAAAGCTTAATTAACTGCAGCAGCAAAGTATGTGGACACAGTAGGATTCAACAACATTCATTCAACATATAACATGTGACTGAGCTTCTGCTCTGTCCCAAGCATTAACCTAGCTGCTATTCTTGTTCTCATGGAATTCAAAGATTCTGAGTTGAGAAAATATCTACCTGTTTCCAAATGACAACCAGGACAATAAGTGAGATGATCACAATCACCAACAGCACCAAGACTGCAGCTGCCACTGTGAGCTCAGAACGCAGAGCTAGACGGCAAGACAGAGACATGGGAGAGAATTTCTTCGTGAACATGTGGGAGGAAAGGAAGGCAGTGTGACTGGGCTTGGGCCAGGAATCTCTCACTGACGGATGGGAAGTGGGACGGCAGCATGGCTCATGACAGGGACAAGTGATACTCTCCAACAGCTATATGCGCGAAACATCTCCTCTTACCCTTCCTTTCAAAAGGACAAAAATATGGGGATCTCAATACTCTCAACACGTTCCAAAATTAACCTTTTGGGCAAAATGTACATTAGAGTAATACGGACTGATAAATGAAATTGAGAGCTACTATAATTCGGAGGAGTCCACACGTAGCGCAAAAGGTTAATGCATTCAGCAACTAACTGAAAGGTTGGAGGTTCCAGTCTGCCCAGAGGCCTAGCAAATTACTTAGGAAAACTCAGCCACTGAAATCCCTATGGAGCACAGTTCTACTTTGACTCACATAGGGTCACCATGCGTCATAGTCCAGTTTCAATAAATTCAAAAACCCCTACTTTATAAGCTTTATTTTTGAGAGACTGAATTTTGCTTATATTGCTTTTGGCTTTCCTAAGCTTTTATTCTTTTTCTTTTGAAGAATTCAACTTGTCTCAACTGTTATGAGGACCAACAAGACAGATCTTCCTTCTCCATCCTCCTTACCCACACACTGATGTTTAGACTAAAGAGATCAGGTAGCTACACCATTGGACAAGCAAGATGCTAACGGGCTTCTGCAAGATGCAGTTTTGGATCCCAATCTTGACAAAAAAGCTCCCACACAGATGCTCAGAGAAGGCCCCTCACGTGCATCCATGGTTCAATTTCTGCTTGGCGACCTCCATGCCTGCCTGACCCCATCTGGGATTCAAAGTTCTGCCAGAGGGAGACAGAGCTCAGCTGAATGCTGAGACAGAGAGAACTGTTCTGACCGTTGAGCAACTCACTGGGAGCCACCAGCTTCAGTTCCCGATTCTCAACCCCAAGGGGATTCTTAGCCAGGCATCGAACTGCAATGGTCTCCTCCACTTTGGTGAAGGTCACTTGGCCCTCCACGGTACTCCTGTCTCGGGCATGGATCTCAGTGAGGGCATTTGAGACATTATTGGCCAAAATCGTCCATGAAGTTTCATTATTACATCTGGAAAGGAAAAGGACATAAATATAAAGTCAGTTATCGGGAGCAGTGGAGGTGAGGGCAGCCAGGAGGATAATCTAATATGGCAAGTACTTCTGACCTTTTCTGCATTTGGGGTTGCTGCAAGTTGACTTTCTTATTCTGCGTACAGATTAACACTATAACTTGTGGAGTACTTGATGGATACTGAGATTCTGTTTGAGTTGGTGAAAAAGTTTTAGAAATAGAGCTACTGGTTGCAAACTGTGAGTGTGATTAATGTCAAAGAATTGTACACTTAATAATGGTTAAAATGGCAACTTTGTATGTTTTATCACATTTTTTAAAAAATGAAGAGAAACCTAGAAAAAAGAAAAAAAAAAAACTTTTGTGCCTTTCAAGCTGCATACCCAAAAAAGAGATTAAACTCCATGTGGGTAACTGAAAGTTAACTATTTATGAAAAAGAGGCAGACATAATAAACAAGGTCAGTAAAATATTACAAATCCAAAGCCTTGAACCTATAGCCAGACTGAACATTTCAACTTTAAGAATATGTAACCATTTCCCATTTCCCATCCCTGGCACCCTCCCTTCTCACCCACTCTCCCCACTCATCAGGGAACCCAGAGTGGAACTGGGGAGTGTGCTGACACATTGTGAGGAATGCAGTTAATGTCATGGAACATTTTATGTACAAACTATCAAATGGAAAACTAATTTATTCAGTAAACTTTCACCAAAAGCACAATAAAAAATAATAAAGTTTCAAAAAAGGAGTTGAACAGAGAATTACCATATGTCCTAGCAATTCCATTCCTAAGTATATATCCAAGAGAATAAAAAACATGCTTATGCAAAAACTTGTATATGAATGTTCATAGCAACACAGCAAAAAGGTGGAAATAATACAGATGTCCAATTGTCCATAGACAAAATATGGTATATACATACAGTGGAATATTATTCAGAAAAGGAATGAAGTACTAATAAATGCTAGAACATGGCTGAATCTTAAAAACATCATGGAAGTGAAAGAAGCCAGTCATAAATGATCATATGTTGGCTGCTTCTATTGATATGAAATGGACAATAGGCTCACATACAGAGATAGAAAAGGCTGCCTAAGGCTACAGGGCAATGAGAGATTAGGGATTTGATAGCTAAGGCTATGGAGTTTCTTTGTGGAGTGATGAAAATATTCTAAAATTGGTTGTGGTGATGGTTACACAACTGTGAATATACTCAAAACCAGAAAATTATATACTTAAAAGGGTGAATTTTATGGCATGTAAATTATATCTCAACAAAGCTGTTAAGGAGGGAAAAAAAGAGCAACAAAAGAAATAAAAGGCACGTAAAGTCCTTTTTATCAAAGGAGAAACATTCTGACCACAAAAGAAAAAAGAAAAAAAAAAAAACTGGTTTCCATACTTTTTAATATCCTTGCAAATCATCCACTCAATGTCAGGAAGAGGGGTTCCTCCAGCCGTGCACCTCACAGTCTGTCCTCCAGTAGAGCCATGGTGGTCATCAACAAAGTCCAGAATGGAGGAGGGAACTGCAAGAAGTTGGAGGAAGTCAGAATTGAAGGGTTCATGTCCTAGAACTCAGGGGACTACAAATTGGAAGTGTGAGTTCAAAGCTTGTCCACATGGCATTTGAACCTACAAATCAAGTAACCACCCTAGAGGGGAAGAAAACCAGTTGTGTGTGGAGTAGCACTCACATTTGGACAGAACCTCTGGTTAAGAGCATTTTCAGAGTTTCCATATTTTGGGATTTGTGCCCTGTAGTGTTTTAAATCTGGAGTGAGGAAAGTGAAAAGGCCCCATGGTTACTTGACTTAGAGGAAAGGAAGCTTTTAAAATTAGATTATGGTTTGGGATTCAACTAATGCACTGAGCTAACGTATAATATGAAACAGCATTTACCAAAGTGTATCTACGAAATGGTATCAAGTTTTAAAGAATTTTTTTTTTTTTAATCTGAGGTCAAAGAAATTAAAGACATGTTGATGTCAAACTTCAAATGTACTGTGAGGACTACATGAGCCCATCTGAGACAGCACCTGGCCCATGGTAGGCACTCAGTGAATAGATGCTAGACCTGAATGCAAATAGACTTGGGTCATTATGATTGGGCTGCTTTGCAATGTTTACAAAGGAAACTAAGCAAAAAGGTCAGACTCTCTGAACAATCCAAGGTCATCTGAATCAAAAAGCACCCCTTCAGTCTTCCCAGAACTAGAAGTGCCATACTGAGAAATGGGTGCTGAGGAAGATGTTGTTGTTGTTGTTATGTGCCGTCGAGTCAGACCTGACTCACAGCGACCCCTCCTTGGGTTTCCAAGGCAGTATCACTACGGAAGTAGATTGCTCCATCTTTCTTCCAAGGAGTGGCTGGTGGGTTTGAACCACCAGCCTTCTGATTAGCAGTCAAGTGCCTTAGGTACTAAGCTACCAGAGCTCAAGGAATTCCCAGACAGATGTTCTAGAGTAACCTGGAACCTCTCAAAATTACCTGAATTCATTCTGGCCAACAAAGCTACCTCCAATATCCCTGCTTCCTCACTAAAACGTTCTTTTCCATTCTTAACCTAATAGAAAAGTGCCGGATTCACTGAGCTGCCACTGTCTTTACACTGCCTTTACATACCTTGAGTTAATAGTTCAAAAGTATAGCTCTTCACATCATCTTCATTTTGAACTATGATAGTATAATGGCCACTGTCTTCTTCCTTAGCACGAATCAGCTTTAACTTACTTCGATACCTTAAAAGAAAAGGATTTTTTTGCTTCAACAAGTATCACCTAAACAAACCCCAATTATTAAGCCATTACAGTCTTCAGTGTAAAAATTATTTTTCTAAAAATTCCAAAAAAAAACGCTGATTTTAGATATATGCACCCCCATGTTCATCACAGCACTATATACAATAGAAAAAAAAAAAAAAGGAAACAACCTAGGTGCCCATCAACAGAAGAATGGATAACCAAACTACAGTATGTACACACAATGGAATACTATGCAACACTAAAAAACAATGTAGAATCTGCAAAACACCGCATAACATGGATGAACTTGGAGGACATTATGCTGAGTGAAATAAGTCAATCACAGAAGAACAAATACAGTACTAGTTCATTATTGTAAAAAGTCAAGGAAAGATTTATATATGGAAGGAAACTTTCTTTGTTGGTTACCAGGGGTGGAAGGGGAGGGAAGGGAACACTGCAAAAAAATTAAAAAAAAAAACAAAACTGTTTTTTGTTTTGTTTTGTTTTTCTCTCCAGCATCTCTTTTCTAGGATTTTCAATACATTTCCCACATGTTGAAGATCCAAGTTACAGACAATTCTTCCAACAGAAAACTAGGCATTGGGAAATGAGGAACAGCTTGCATGGCTCCAAGAGCAACCAGCCCTGATAAAGGTTGACATTTGGACGGGAGCATAACCATCCTACGAGCATTTTTACAAATAAAAAACAAAACCTTAATTTTAACCTTTCAAAGAAATACTTGGTTCCCCTAAATATTTGGTGGTTCAGCCAAACAATGGAATAGCACTGGAAAAAAGAAGAGGCCCTTCTCTGTGTGCCTGACATGGAAAAATCTCAGGGATCTAGCATTTCCACTTGCTTGTTCTGCTTGAAGAAACTCTGGAAGGTTTCACAAGAACTTAACAGAACTAATGAAAGCATTCCTTGTGGTAGGTGGGGAGGAGGGGAACTAATGGGCAGGTAGGAGTGGGAGAGGAGTGAGGTTTTTTTATAATGCACCTTCATTTTTGTTTGTTTGCTTTTAAAGCATGGGGTTTCATCACCTATTCAAAAAATGAATTTAAAAAATATGGTTCCACACATTATTAAAGGGAAATCTTCCCAAAATTTCTTACACTCATCATAAATGACATTTGGCCATGTGTGTGTACAACATGTGTGCATGTGCACACAGGCATGCATAAATATAGTACTTGCCCAACTGATAGCCCTTCTTAAATAAAATATCACAGTGTGGGAAAACAACTGGAATGGAGAAGAAGAGCACTGCTTGTGGGTTGAGAAGGTACTTAGGCATTATTGCAATTCTCTGTGCCTCAGTTTCTTTATGTGTAAAATGAGGTAACTACATATAGCACAGGTCATTTTGAGGGTTATTTAAATGAGATTGTGTGTATGAAAGCATTTTGTTGTTTATGTGCCATCGAATCAGACCTGACTCACAGTGACCCCTCCTTGGGTTTCCAAAGCAGTATCACTACGGAAATTGATTGCCCCATCTTCCTTCCGAGGAGTGGCTGGTGGGTTTGAACCGCCAGCCTTCTGGTTAGCAGTCAAGTGTCTTAGACACTATGCTACCAGAGCTCCTGAAAGCATTTAGGAGGCTCAAAACAATCTGAAAAGGTAAAGTCTTCTAGTCCAAGCTGCTGAAGCCCTGATCTGTGATGAGAAGATACTGGGCTCTGTTGTACCATACTGAACACGCTTCAGAACTGGATTTCCCCAGAGAGTTTCCTCAGGCACCCTGTCTTCTGATTACCAAAGGATCATCTGTTGTTCATTTTCTGCATTTGTTTGATCAAGAAGGCCAATGGGTACACTGGCTTTAAGCTCCATGAAGCCAGGAACCCTACCCATCTTGGTCATCCTCATGTCTCCCAGCACATAACGTTGTTGTTATTGTTAGATGCCACTGAGTTGGTTCCAACTCATAGGGACCCTATGTCCAACAGGACGAAACACTGCCCGGTACTGCACCATCCTCACAAGTTAGGATTAACAATACACATAACAACGCAATGCAACACTCTGCCTTTGAGTCAGATCCAACTCATAGCAACCCCTCCTTGGGTTTCTGAGGCAGGATCTCTATGGAAGTAGATTGCCCAACCTTCCTTCCAAGGAGTGGCTAGTGAGTTTGAACCACCAGCCTTCTGGTTAGCAGTCAAATGACTTAGGCATTATGCCACCAGAGCTCCTAATACACATAATAGGAATCAGAAAAATATTGTAAGAACTAAAAAAAAGGTATGCTAAAGGACTTCTTATATCCATATAGCAGCTTTCCGGAACCACTTAGTTGGTGAGCTTGTCTTTCGTTACTATTAATTACGGCTTGCAGAAAGTGCTAACACATGGTTTGAAGTGACAGCTAACAAACACCCTTCTCATCTCTTCCTCACAGTCTACTGCAAAGCTCGAAACTGCCCACCTTTGTGCAACTTCATTTCAGGTCACCAGACAGCCTTTCAGATTCTGCATTGTACTTCCTTTTCAATCATTGTTCTACAGAGATCAAAAAATCCATTTTCTCACATGTAGCTCCACAATTACTCATGGAATTTAGTCCAGAAAAAAGAAAGCAAATCCTGGGGTTAAGTGAGATGATGAGAGAAGTTCTGTTCTTTCTTCCCTGACTCATCTCTTTGGGATGATTTCTGACAAGGGCTAGAACTGGATTAGTGGGGCCTTTCAAGATGTACTGCTGACTCTTAGATTGTAACCATGACTTAAAGCTGCAAGAGAACTCACAATAGCATCTGATCTAACTCCTTGCTTTAAGACATAAGGTATTATTAACCCCACCTTATAAATGAGGAGACTGAGGCTGAGTGGTATCTCACTCAAAACTCTGTTGTTGTTGTTATGTGCCATTGAATCGGCCCTGACTCATAGCGACCCCTCCTTGGGTTGCCAAGGCAGTATCACTACAGAAGTAGATTGCCCAACCTTCCTTCCAAGGACAACAGTTAAAACATGGAGAACAGTCTATTGGCAGATTGATTGAATCTAAACTAACCATTTCATATCTCTCGCCTAAACAAATGGAACCAGGCTCTACTCTTAGTTCCTATACAGGTCTTGACTGGGGCAAATGAGTTTCAAATTAAACCCATAATGCTTCACTTCATGTAAGTTTATATGATAATTGCCTTTGCAAATGGAATCACCATACTTGTTTGCTCTCATTATGGATGATGAGCATCCATATTAAGAAAGACATATGCAGTCCAAGTGGGTCCCATTTTACTTTCTTGCTTCCAATCCTAGCTGGATTCATTGGGGAGCAGAACTTTTCATCTTTTCTCTCTTTTCATTATAAGTAAATACTATCTAATATACTATAAGGAGCCCTGGTGGCATAGTGGGTAAGCCATTTGGCTGCTAACCAGGTCAGCGGTCAAACCCACCAGCTGCTCCGCAGAAGGAAGATTGGAACAATCTACTTCCATAAAGATTTACAGCATCTGTGGTGCAGTAAATTACTTAGTGTGGCTTTTCTACCCATAAGTCTTTGTAAACTCCAAGGTGAGATTTTCTGTGGGCAACTGAGGAGCTTCTAATTGCTGAAGTTGTCCACCTGGAGTATTTCTGTTGGGAGTGGCACAAAACAATGTTCTGGGAGGTTCCCACTCCCTCTCACATGCTTAAGAGTTCTGATACTATGATTGGCTAGTTTGGCCACTCTGCCAGGCTCAAAAGGAGGCCTCCTAGAGGCAGAACGCTCTCTGACTGCTGGTTGAGGAAGACGTGCTGCTGAAAGAGACATGGGCTCCTGAGACACGCATTGCTGGAAAAGAGATGCAACAGACACACACGCATTGCTGAGTGAGACACCCAAGACATGCACTCCTGGAAAAGAGACTGTGAGAGACTGTTGGCCAAGGAACGGTGGGCTGGGAGAGAGACTGAGCGTTTTTTCCTGAACTTGAATTGTAGCCTGTGGTGCTTCCCTAATAAACCCCATCATCTGTGAGCTCTGTGTGGCCACTGCAGCAAATTAGCGAACCCAGGAGAGAGGTGGTGGGTGCTTTGGGAGGAATGGTTGGAGAAAGGGCTGGAGGGAGGCAGCATGTCTGGCCTTGCAGTAATAGGCCTTGTGCTATTGACGGTGATTCTGCCTTCCTCTTGTGGGGTTCTAGGAGGTCAGAATATGTGGCCTCCTTGCCGTTTTTGCAGCATCAGAAACCCAACGGAGGTGGCCATGAATCAAAATCGACTTGATGGCAGTGAGTTTGGTTTTTGGTTTAACATACTATTATCAAATTGCAATGCTATAATTAAAACTACTTGACTTGAAGTATTTTTTAATTCAAACTGTTAAGGTTTCTAGACTTTTAGTTTGAGTTGTAAGACAAACACACATCCCTATCTATCTAGGGCCACATACTAAAAAGAAAACACATGCTTTGGAAAAGTCTGCCTTTACCTTATCTCCTGAATTCGTTCTACATCAGTGGTGATCTCAGTCAGGTTTTCAATCAGCGTCAGGTTGTCCTTCAGCCAGGATATCTTGGGAGGAGGGTAGGCCTGTATGTTCACGACAAAATGTTTGACTTCATGCAGGTTGACAGCTTCCAACTGGCTGAAGTTGGGTTTGATTTCAATGAACCCTTTCTCTGTACAGGGAAAAGTTTCCATTAGATAATAATTACTGCATAGCAGATCCCAAATAGCATGGATGACTGACAGTTTAGAAAGCTGACTGTACCATGAACAGAAATGGTGACTTTCTTCATTTCTTTGACCTCCTTGGTGGCCTGGCGGGCAGCACATTCATAATCTCCACTGTCTTTCACTGTGGCCTCAGGGACTGTCAAAGTGTATACCAGTTTGATGGATGGAACTTTGATTTCCTCGAGCATTGTGATGCCTTTGCCTTTCTGCAGCAGAAGGGGAGGCAAGCCAACTTTTTAAAAGACTAGCTGCTTAAAAAATTGCTTTAGAAAAATATTTAATAACATAAGAAGGTGCTTGTTCTACACTGCTGAGGAAAAGAACATGTAACAATAGTTACTAATTATTAACATATATACAGTCATGTACTGCATCTTTGGGCACCATCTGACTGCATATACATACGTGGTCACATAAGGTTATAATGGAGTTCCAAAATCCTGACTGGAGAATAGACATAGCAAACACAACAGCTTCCTGTAGGCAACACACGTATCTCATGTCTCTGGTATACAAAGCAACCACAAAGTGGTACAGTAAATATATAACCTATAAGACATATGTCTTGGTAGTCATAATAAAAACTGTTACTGGTTTATGCATGCACTGTACTGTACTTTCTATCTAAAATGTTTACTGTATAACAGTGCATGCTTCAACTCATAGACAGGAGCATCCAATCTTGTATATCATGTGTCTCTTGAGTGTTGGAGCACTCAAATTATCTCTTTGTCTAATTTTCTTTTGAAAATACTACCCTGAAGTGTATCATGGCTCCCATACACAGCAAAACCAGTGCTCGTGACAGCAACAGCAAGAGGCAAAGGAGAAGTATCGATGTATGAAGCAAAAGGTTACTCAACAACACGAAGGTAGAAAATCAGTGAACACTATTGCTCATGATTTAGGCATGTCCCACTCAATAATCCTGATGATCCTCAAAAACAAAGAAAAAATTCTCCAAGCTGTTAAAGAGTCAGCTCCACTGAAAGCTACAATGCTAAAGAAAACATAAGAGGGATCTATATCAGATATGCACAAACTGCTAATAACGGGGACTGAGCACCTAACACAAAATTGAGTCCCTTCCAGCACACTGATGATCGCAGCTAAGGCACGAAGCTTGTTTGAAACGCTTAAAGTAAAAGCAGGACCAGGTTACAATATGATATTCACACATCCAGATCACACAACGTCCTATACAGTATGTATTGTGGACATTAAGTGATGTGTGACTGTGTACATCACATTAAGTGATGTGTGACATGCAGAATCCCTGGATGGTGCAAATGGTTAAACACTCAGCTATTAACCAGAAAGGTGGCTGCTGGAGTCCACCCAGAGTCACCTCAGCAGAAAGCCCGAGCAGTCTACCTCTGAAAGGTCATCCCCACTGAAACCTTCGGAGCACAGCACGACTGACCCACAAGGTCACCAAGGGCCACCTTGATGGCAACAGTTTGGTTTGGTTTTGGATCTATGTATAAAATACTTACATATAAAAAATAATTAAAGAACTGATCTTCCTAAAATATTAACTATGATGCTCAGAAAAGCTTGTCCTCTGATTTTCTATATTTTACAAAATTTCAACAATAAACCCAGATTACTTTTATAATCAGGAAAAAAGTTTTTAAAAACAATTACTTTGATGATATATTTTGGGGCCAAGTAGCATGTACTTTAGTTTGGAAAAAATGTCTATCACCAATAAATGAGAAAAAAAGATGTTTATGTTTTAAGGAGTAAAGGCAATGAAATGAACAACATAAACAACAAAACCTAATAGCTTCGGTTCTTAGGGAAGATGTACACATACTGAACGTGGCTATCCCGTCAATGCACGAGCTTTTTAAGGCAATATGTGAAAACACCCAACTTCTATCAGGTGCCTCAGAAAGAAAGGAAGAGTGGCAGCAAAAGAATGAAGGAGACAAACAGGTAAAAAGAGGAAGAGAAATGGGTAATAGCAGAGAAAATTATCAACTGAAAAAAAAATAAAAAAGCAGAAAGTTCCAACTCAGGAATAAAGAGAAAAAATGTACACCTGGTTTATGTTCTCCATGAGGCCAGTGTAGTAAATACTGTTAATCATTTCTACCTTGGGTCCTTCTTACGTATGGTTCTCCTATAAACAGCACAATGTCTGAGAAAGAACGGGACACTGTGCAGAATCTCCAGTGACTCAGAAACACCACGATGGCTCTCTTCCTCGCTTCGACCTCCCCTCTCCCTCCTTCTGTGCAGGTATCAGTTTCTAACACAGTGCCTTGGATTTAGCAATTGTCACTAACTCTTTGCTGAATGACTAAAGCAATGACTGCTCACCGAAGGCGAGTCGTGCAAAGAAACAGAAGGCAGGTAGGAGGCAGAATCTGTATGGCAAGGCAGCAGACAAGGGAGAGGGGAGAAATCAACAGAACCAAATGCCTCATAACCCAAAGAGCACAGGACCTAAGAAAATGGGACTCAACCAATGTCCCAGGAAGCTCTGGTGGCGTAGTGCCTAAGACATTTGACTGCTAACCAGAAGCCAGGCAGTTCAAACCCACCAGCCACTCCTTGGAAGGAAGATTCGGCAATATACCCATTAGATAGATACCACCTGGGAAACCCCTAGGAGGGGTAGCTATGAGCTGGAAATGACTCAATGACAGTGACTTTGGTTTTTGGTTTAACCAATGCCCCAGCAATTCGAACATTTCTAAATCCACTGTTTTTGTGTGCGTGTGTTTTGTTTTTAGATTTTCCAACTTTTTGGTTGTTATCTTGAAGCCACAGAACCCACCTCTCTCTGACTTCTGGAAAGAAGGCTTAATGCACAATCTATATGCCTTCTGTGGTGATCCAGCTACTGTCACCTCAAACTCTTCCACTGATCACAGACCCTCAGAGGTCATTACTGCTTGAATGGTGGCTTCCTAAAAAATGTATGTTGACATTTTAACCTCCATTGAGGGCACATAACCACAACAACAACAACCTGTGGATGTAGTCCTATTTGGAAACAGGGTTCTCTTTGTTAATGAGGCCATATCAGTGTAGGGTGTGTCCTCAATCTAATCACTTCTGAGTGATTAAAGAGTAGAATAAGCCCAGAGGCAATGGGAGATGTCGATTGTACTAGCCCAGGAACTCTAGCCCAGGAACTCCAAAGACTGCCAGCTATGTTGTGGTTGTTGCTGTTGTTATGTGCCATGAGTTGAGATGCCTCCTTGGGTTTCCACAGTATCACTATGGAAGTAGACTGCCCCATCTTCCTTCCGAGAGGAGTGGCTGGTGGGTTTACAACTGCCAGCCTTCTGATTAGCAGTCAAGTGCCTTAGGCACTAGGTTACCAGAACTTCTACTGCCACCTAAAGAAGCTGAAATAGACGAGAATGGACTTTACTCTACAGCCAAACCTGAATTTGGACTTATAACCCACCAGCCACTCCTCGGAAGGAAGATGGGGCAATCTACTTCCGTAGCGATACTGCCTCGGAAACCCAAGGAGGGGTCACTATGGGTCGGGTCCGACTCGATGACACATAACAACAACATAACAAGCCTCTTGATGGGGGGGGGCGGTTTTTCTGTTACAACAGCACTAAGAAACTGAAACAGTCATCTAGTCAGTTATGCACAATGTAGAGCCAGGAAACTGAGGTCTGCAAAAGCTCAGCGATGTGCCCCCGTCGGTGACAGACGTAACTGGAACTATGTCTTATGAGTCTCACTGGGCTCCAATGCATGCTCCCATAAGCCTTGCAGGCACTTACCACTTCTCCGGGGTAAGTCCACTGAAGGTCAACCACCTCGTTGTTAAAGACTGCACAAGTGACCACAATCGTCTCCCCTGACTTATACACAGTTTTCACGGCATCCATTTCTAGGTCAAGTTCTGATGTGGCTGTTTGACAAAAAGAAGAACAAACACGAGGACCTAAATATCCACAGTGGAGTTAGAATCCCATAAGGTTTTTGGGGTCTTTTTGTTGTTTTTAATAGGATCTGTAAGAGTTGTATGTGTGTGTGTGTGAGAGTGTGTGTAATAAAACCCTGAAAAAACAATTCGCAAGCCAGTTTACTCAAGACAAAGTCTCTACAATCTCACGTCCTTCATTCTGAGTTGGTATACACAATTTGACATGTGCAAGTAGTAAATTACTTAGTGTGGCTTTTCTACCCATAAGCCTTCGTAAACTCCAAGATGGGATTTGCTATGAGCAACTGAGGAGCTCCTGATTGCTAAAGTTGTCCACCTGGGGTATTTATGTTGGGGATGGCAAAAAACAATGTTCTAGGAGGTTCCCACTCTCTCTCAGGTTTAGAACTCTGATGTTATGATTGGTTGGTTTGGGCACTCTGCCAGGCTCAAAAGGAGGCCTCCTAGAAGCCAGAACTCTCTCTGACTGCTGGTTGAGGAAGACGTGCTGCTGAAAGAGACACGCACTCCTGAAAGAGACACGCACTGCTGGGAAAGAGACGCAAGAAACATGCATTGCTGAGTGAGACACCGAGGGACATGCAGGAGGCCGGAAGATGGGGCCTCCTTGCCCTTTTAGCAACATGTAATTATAGAGTCCCTGGGTGGTACAAACTGTTAACAGGCTGAGCGGCTCAGTTTGAGTCCACCCCGAAGTAACTCAGAAGAAAGGCCTGGAGATCCACTTCCAAAAAATCAGCCACTGAAGACCCCATAGGGCACAGTTCTACTCTGACACACATGCTGTTGCCATGAGTTGGAGCTGACTCTACAGCAACTGATGTGTGTGTGTGTGTGTGTGTGTAATGTAGGAATACAAACTAACAATAATAGCAACTATAACCAGTTCCAATTTAACAGAACACCACACTTCTGACCACTTGGGTTCATTATGGTTTTACTACTTTGTAATCGCGCTCACTGATGTATTTCTTCATTTATGCAATCAGCCAACCTTCACTGCCTGGCATTTCTTTCGGTACTTTGCTCTTACCCCATCATTTATTCTCCCCCCAATTCCATTCTACTTCCCTGTCATTACCAGCACTTTTCCAGTACCTAACACAGGGCCTGGCATAAAATAAGCGCGTAATAATATTTATATGGCACACTCTTGACCTGCTGCATATCAACATGTATACAGTAAGTGCTCAAAAAATACCTACTGACCTGAACTTGCATTATACTTTACCATTCACTCTACCTACTCAGATCAAAGGGATGAAGTCTACAACTCCAAGCTTTTCTCAAAACCAAAACCACCTAAGTTGCTGAAATTAATCTACGCATCCAACCCCCATGAACATATATTTGTTTTTAGGGCCTCTGTGGTCAGGAATGTGAATAAGAGGCTTATGCAAGAAAAGAATTCCTTATAGTATTTTGAAGTCAACTGATGAAAAATGAAATCTTACAAAGGTAAGAAAGCTTTTTTGCTTTTAGTAATTTCAAGCAGTATTACCATGGCCCCAAAGGTCAGCCTAACATTGTATAGTAAAGGCAGGGTTCTAAATCTCCAAGTGGAAATTCAAAATCTCCATCACCAGTGATTAAGGTCTTATTAATGCTACATGCATCTGATGTTTTTGCCTTTTGCTCTTAAAGGAGGGAGAGGGGACAAGCACCTTTTAAAGCATAGACGTTAAAAGGGATGGTCTGGAAAGTCTTCCCTTTGATGGTGGCCTCACAGATATAGGGCCCTCCAGTGAACGTTCCGTTAAAGCCCTGTTTGCTGTCATACGAGGCATGAATCACCTCACCACCACTGCGCAAGGTTACTGCAGTCTCTGGGTCAGTTGTACGGCAGGGTATGAGGGCAGAGTCATCCTCCTCCGCGATGACTAAATAATCCGTCCCTCCCGGAGGTACGAAGGCTACATCTGGATCTGTAGTTTAAAAAAAAAAAAAAATAGACATTAATTTTATCTTTACATATATATACAAAAAAAAAACACATTTGATTGGCATTAATCTTCGGAAGGAAGGTTGGGCAATACTACTTCCGTAGTGATACTGCCTCGGAAACCCAAGGAGGGGTCGCTGGGAGTCGGGGCCGACTCGACGGCACACAACAACAACAACAACAACAATCTTAGTAGGTGGAAATTGTAACTTTACCTACATATACAGAGGTCTCCCCACTGACTTTCATCATCATAACAGCTAGAAGATGATTTAAAGCATGAATAATTCAAGATTGCCTGAATCTTAATTTAAAAAGAAAAAATTGATGATAAATTGGAATACTAGACAGGAATTCAAATCAGAATCTAAACAACAATTAAAAAAATGAACAATAAGATAATACAGTTCAATAGCCCAAGATAGAAGAGAAAAATTTCATAATTAAAAAATTATGAAAGACTTGGGAAAATTTTTATCACTTACAACCAAAAAACCAAACCCACTGCCATCAAGTTGATTCCAACTCATAGCAAGCCCATAAGACAAAGCAGAACTGTCCCATACAGTTTCCAAAGCTGTAAATCTTCACGGAAGCAGACTACCTCATCTTTCTCCCATAAGGTGGCTGGTGGGTTTGAACCACCGACCTTTTGGATGGCAGCCCAATGCTTTAACAACTGAACCACCAGAGCTCCTTCATATCAGTATTATTGAAAGCAGTACAGTAATCAAGGAGATGGGTGAAACAATAGCCACAACAATGGACTAAAATATCAAAGATCACAAATATGGAGCAGGGCCGGCAACATTTAATTCCATTACACATAAGCTGGCCATGAGTCGGAGTCAACTTGATGGCAACTAACAACAACAACAGTGTAGAAATATATCTTTTAAAAACTAATTAGGTTTATAATTCCATATGCTGCGGATTCTCTTTCCAAAAGAAAAGTGGCGACTTAATCTACTGTGGTCAGAAATACTGCCAGCCTCAAGAATCAGTTTCAGAAAGGGCCCCTTACTCTCCAGAATTACAAATAAAAAGACCTCTGTCTAACTCCAATGCAGGCTACCTGGGTAGTGTTTGTGCTGGGGGTAGGGAGAATGAGAAGAATTTTTGTACAATCTTAAGCAGATTAAAACGATAGGATGCATGTACTTTTACAAGGTCGTGTTCCCACTGTTCTCTTCATTTAGAGGCTTTGGTTGAAGGAACATAAGTGTGGCATTTAGGTGTATATGAAGCTGAGGTGACATCCACCCCTGTGAAACAAAACTTGGACTGTTAGGAAGATACATCTGCATAACAGTATCATAAAATAATGGAAGATTTCCAGATTCTTGAGATGCCCAGTTATCTTGTTGCTGTTGTTGCTTTGTTTGCTGTTGAGACAGCCCCTAACTCATAGCAGCTCTGTGCACAACGGGATCAGACCAGTGTGATCCACAAGGTTTTCACTGGCTCATTTTTTGGAAGTAGATGAAGGAGGCAATTTTAAAAAATCTTGAACAGTCAGAAAGGTAGGGAAACAGATATCACAAGAGTGTTTTACTCAGAAATCCTACTTCCTTAACAGGAGTCTCTATCTCTACCGAAAGAAGTATGGTAACAAACTTGCAATGGATTCCTCCTCATTTTCTCTCATAGGCCTTTTCCCTAATAAGTCCTTTGCATGTTTAATACCAGAGTCCCTGCAGGGGCAAACGGTTGTGCTGACCTAAAGGCTGGAAGTCTAAGTCCACCTAGGAGGGCCTCGGAGAAAAGGGCCTGGCATTCTACTTCTGAAAACGCAGCCACTGACAACCCCGTGGAGCACAGTCCTACTCTGACAAACGAGGAATAACTACTAGTTGAAATCAACTCAATAGCAAGGGGCGAACTGCTTCTGCTTAATCCTATCGTGTTCCTTGCTTCTCAGGGGACACAGGATATCATCATTACATGGGCAATTTTTCTCCAAATTTTCATCAAAAAGAAGAAAAACAAATGCCTTCCAATTCATCAACAGTAAACATATATTTGTACTGAATCTAAAATACAGCTATAATGCTTATAAAAAACAACTACAATGAACTATAAGCTATTCCAAAACTCAAACCCACTGCCGAAGAGTCAATTCCAACTCACAGAGACCCCCATTGGGTTTCTGAGGCAGTAAATCTTTACGAAAGTAGATTGCCCCACCTTCCTTCTGCAGAATAACTAGTGGGTTTGAACTGCTGACCTTCTGATTAGCAGCCAAATGCTTTATCCACTGTACCACCAGAGCTCCTTTATTCCAAGACAGAGCCTACCTAATTATTTTTTGCATGCTTGACACTCAGAGACACAAGACTGTGTGCTTGACACACAGTAAATAGTTGGTGAACTTGACTGAACGGAATAGAAATTAGTATATTTCAGATTTTTTTCATAATATCCATGCCGAGGGACATGGCAGAATAAGAATGGGTTTCGAAACTTAATACACAGCTCTGAGATGTTAACAATAAACATTTTTTGGTAACGAGATTACAAAGGACCTTTATTTAATTTTGTGTGCTCTCCTGTGTTTCCCAACTCTTCTACAACAAACATTTGTCAGGGAGACAGCATGGAAAACAGGAGTGAATGGGAGGGAAGGACACAGGGAAGAGATAACTATGGAAGGGAAGTGGGAAAAGAGCTGTTACACTGTGGAGAATTGCACTCAATGTCATGAAACAAAATGTATACGAACTGCTGTACAGAAAATGAATTTGCTCCATAAACTTTCACCCAAATCATAATAAAATTTTTTAAATAAGTAAAATAACAATTAAAAAAATAAACATTTATTTTTATACTTAAAAAAACCTTAATACAGTTAACACAAGAGACAGGACAGCACGATGCACACTCGGTCCCAGGGCCCCTCCACTCACCTGGCACATAGATATAAATGTGCCTGCCCACGACCTCACTGTCTTCCATCTGACTGTGGTTGTAATAGCAAGTGTACATTCCTGTGTGGGCTGCGGAGGCACCAGCCACTTCCAGCACTGTCACAAAAAGGCCACTGTTGTTTTCTTCATTTTGGATTTCTACGTTGAGGTTCTCGTCTTCAGAAATGGGGTACTTCCAGCTCACTTCACTCTCCCCAAAGCATCTCAGAGAAAAGGACGAATTCAGCTGCACAACCTTTTCATTCTCATTTGGAAGGATGGAGGGTAATGAAAGCTGGCACAGTATGAGGCCCGGCCCTGTGAAAGGAAACATGCTCTGAATAGGATACGGCCAGAAGGGACAGTGTCATCCAGAGAACCCAGAGGAGCGACAGAAGCAGCTTATGTGAACAATGGCCATGTCTATGCAAAAATCCGTTAGTCTGGATGCCCATGAAAGGCCCCCCATTATAACAGCCACTGCATCTGCTGAGAGCCACAAAAGCTCCAGCCCCTCACCCCAAAGCCACCCCAGAGTCACTCCTCCAGACACTCCAATGGACAGAGGATGTCTAACTCCAATTCCATATTTCACACTCTTATGTACAACCATAAAATACCCCAAGATGGCACAGGCTCGAGCACATACAGGTGCTTTATTGTCCACACTCGCTGCAGAGGATTCCCATAGTGAAAAATGGGACGAGAACTGGGGCAGGCAGGCTGACCGAACAAAGCACAAGGCGGGTCTGTGCTCGAGAACAACACCTCCTCTGCTTCTCGCGACACTCTGCACGGCTTCTCTCTTTCATCAGTTCCAGACACCAAAGCACGATCATGTGGATTTTCATTCAAAAACGAAGAGTATTTTTGATTTTTGAAAATAAAGAAAACTTAGGGTGAAAAGTTCATCTTAGAACCGAAAATTTCAGTCTCGCTTCCTCTGCCTGTGAAACTGATTCAAGAGATATTATGGCTCACTTCGTAGTTAGGAGCTCTGGTGGTGCCATGGTTAAAGCGTTTGGCTGCCAAACCAGTGGCTCAAACCCACCAGCTGCTCCATGGGAGAAAGATGAGAAAGGTTTGCAAAAACCTTTATGGAAACCCTATGGGGCTGTTTACTCTGTCCTGTAGGAACACTCTGAGTCAGGATCGACTGATGGCAGTGAGTTTGGTTTGGTTTGGTTTGGTTTTGGGTAATTATTAGTTAGTTAATGGTCTCTAGTTTCCCTTAGAGCCTGATGTGAGGTCATGCCTGCTGCTTGTTAAAACCGGAATTATAAGTACATGTGGGTCACCTGGCATGCTGTAGATGGGGTAGGTATAGTTAGGGAGTTTAGAATTACTATCTTGTTGATCTTGTTCAAATCCACTCTAGCCATACAGATAGGACCTAAAGACAGTAACAAGCTAAGCTACCTTCTCAGACTTAAAAGGCACTGCTTTCATGCTGAATGTCTGTAACACATAAATATCTACATGAAAATTAAAAAATTCCAATAAAGATTGAGCTCCAATGGCATCCTGCTGGTGGGAAAGAGTTAATAAGCTTCCCTGTGAGTCAAACATCCATCTGTCAATTAGCTGCTAAGGGAAAGGGTTGCTCTGAGATTGTCAAGCAATTTAAGCATCTTCTGCTTAAGATAGGTACGGTTTCCTGAGCTGGACCTTTCTATTATTTACTTCCCTTGTACATTTGTGAATTCATCTGATCCACCTCTCCTGGAAACCCATGGGCTGGGGAAAGGAAGAGAGTTATGGGAGACGGTGGACTATTACTACTAACAACGTTTCAGTGTCAGGAATGTACACACATTAAAACTGCCCCAGGAGGGCATTCTTGTGAAAACGGAATTAGTGCAGTACAGCTAAAGGGATAGAAAGTTAGTGGTCATTCTGGATAACAGTCTAGAATTTTCTGCTTCTCTTCTCTCTTTTCAACTGTCTACACAGAATACAGGTAATATACCACAGAGCTCAGAACTTAGAAAGCAAGTGCTCCCCTAGGACAAAGCATTCAGAAAGGGCTGGGATTCATACCTGTGAGGAGACAGCCAAGGAGGAGGAGTGCCCACTGGGGATTCCCCATAGCTCTGGAACTCTGAAAAAGTCAAACAGATACAGCATTAGCCAATAAAAAAACCAATGAGCTTAGTTCTCTGTGCTTTGCATTATGGGAAGTATTAACAGCATCAGTTTAATCAAGAACATCCTGGTTTAAGATGTATGGCTAAAAGAGAAAGATGCTTGGGAATGGATGAGGGTAATAGTTCAGCGATATGATGAACATAGTTAATGTCACTCAACTGTACAGGTGAGACTGTTGAAATGGCAAATGTTTTGTTACCTATATATTTACCACAATAAAATTCAAAACAAAGCAATGAGATGCCTAAGAAATAATCAGATCACCTGATGGAGCCCAAGATCATGACAGGAGTCAGCTGAATCTGAGAACCCTTTGTGATTGCATGTGGCTTTCAAATTCTAAAAAGTACATGTCTACTGTCCTGGAAGGTGTCCAAGAAGACAGGAGAGCTGTTCCTTTAAATCATTTAATTAAGAATGAGAAACTCAAAGAAATAAACATATGTATTGTCTCAACTTTCACATGAAAGCTGTTTTCAATCAAAAAGGGCTGTCACTTGTATCGTGTTTCACCACATAAAGAGGTTATATCCTCTACAGTCATTGAACAGTTGCTTTGGCTGGAGCAAATGTCTTCACATTTAAGAGCCACTCAGATCTAGAGTTGTTCCCACTTTCCAACATCACTTACACAATGACTTGGTGGTGCGGGTGGTGTAAACAGTTTGTGCTGGACTACTAACCCAACAGTTGGTGGTTCAAGCCCACTCAGTGGTACCAAAGAAGAGTGGCCTGGCCATCTCCTTCCAAAAAGATTACAGCCAAGAAAACCTTATAGTGCAGTTTTACTCTGCCACATGGGGTCACCATGAGTTGTAATCAACTCCATGGCAACAGGTTTGGTTTTTTCGTTTTTTTGTGATACAGAGGCACATACCAGGCCTGGACCTGTACCCTGTGCCCTGGTTATCATAGGGCTGCTGATTCACAACTGAGCTAAATGAGGCATGGAAAATCGCAGGCACAGGCATGAAAGGAAGAGCCATAAAGAAAGCAAAGGAGAGGAAATAGGAGAGAAAAATGTGACTAAATTCCTGTGTTGGGGGGAATGAAGCAGACAACAGGAGAAACTGTAGCTTCTAAGGAAACTGATGACACATTTTCTTGTTAAGGTGATAATACCTGAAGAAAGCAAGTTCTCTGACCAACAAAATCTGAGGAATGAAAAAGGAGAGTTGAGAGAGACTGAAATTGAATCAAACATAACCAGAGAAAGAAGTGGGCAGCCAGGAAGGAAAGGAGCAGAAAAGGAAATTATGGGGAAGAAGTGAAAGAGGGGCTCACGTTGTCCGAACAGTAAAACAACTGCAGGGTCTGTTCCAGGAACTTTCTGGAAAGGTGCATTTCTGTGCACTTTCTGTGCTCATGCACACCTCCCACTCACCATTAGTTTTCATTCCCCTCCAATTCTCACATGAAATCCTTGATAGCAGAGACGGGGGAAGATAGATGCCATGCCATATGAGATCTCCAAAAAAGCAAGAAACAGAAGCTAAAAAGAGACAAGGACCTTCCCCCAGAGCCAACAGAGAAAGCAAGCCTTCCCCTAGAGCTGGAACCCTGAATCCAGACTTCTGGCCTGCTAGAAACTAACAAATCTGTCCTGGAAGAAGTGCAGCCAGAATGCTCCTTGCAAGCAAGAATGGTCAGACTTCGTCTCACCTACTTTGGTCATATTGTCAGAAGGGACCGCTCCCTGGAGAAAGATATCATGCTTAGTAAAGTGGAGGGTCAGTGAGAGGAAGGCCCTCAACTAGAGGGATTGATACAGTGGCTGCAGCAATGGGCTCAAGTATAGCAAGGACTGTGAGGCTGGCACAGGACTGGGCAGCGTTTCATTCAGTTGTACATAAGGTCACTCAGAGCCAACTCAACAACACCTAACAATGACAACAGCAGCCCCCTAAACTGTGAGAAAACAAATATGCTTGTTAAAGCCACCCACTTGTGGTATTTGTTACAGCAGACACTGTTTATGCATGATTCCTGAGCAAACTGTCTGAAAAAGAAAAGGAGAAATTCAATGTATGCCTGTGCTTAGACCTTGTTTTGGTTTTGTTTTTTCTGCCAATTTCTGTTGTTGAGGATAAAGCAGATGAGAGCCTCAGTATCATTTCTGGTGATGCCTGATATACATTTTTGCTTTAAGGTGGGCTGCTGGCAGGACTCAGATTTCTGTTTCATTGAGTTCCTTTGGGGAAATGGAGGAAGGAGAGAGAGAGGTAGAGTGCTGGTGGAATGTTGTAACGGTGAGTTTATTTGGGACAAAGAAGTGATGCTGTGTTCTCTGCAAAGGGCAGAATGAGAAACCAGTATTTACTGAGCCAAAGTGCATGCCTTACGACATAGATATTATTTGATTTTAGCAAATGGCACAGAGAGGTTAAGCAAATTACCCAAAGTCACACAGCTGGTGGCAGAGGCAGGATTTTAACGCAAACTCTGTTTGATGCAAAAGCCATGCTCTTTCCACTTCACCATAAGGTCTCACTCAAGAGAAGATCAGTTGCAGCCTTGTCATACTCTCCCCCAACTATTTCCTAATGCAAATGGGGATCCTGCTTCCCCTCTCAGACTTGCCGCAGAGGGGAAGAACAGCTGAAGTAAACCAACCAAATGCACTGCCATGGAGTAGATTCTGATGCACAGCAACCCTCATTGGGTTTCAGAGGGGATAAATCTTTCCCGAAGTAGCTTACCCCATCGAGTTCCATGGAGAGGCTGGTGGGTTTGAACCACCAACCTTCTGGTTAGCAGTCAAATGCCTTAGGCACTGAGCTACCAGAGTTCCTTGCAATTGCAGTAGTATAACCCACATGCAGTTCCTATAGTGCTGGCTGCCTGGTAGTTTCTGAGGGGCCTGGCCTGTGCCCAAGGGATGCAGGATTTCCATCCCAGAGCTGCCTGGCCAGCCTGATTTACTGCAATTAGCAGTGAGGCTCGTGTGCTTGTGAGTGTAAATATCAGCCTCCCTCTGATAATCCATTTAGCCAACTTCAAAGGAGCCCTCCAGAGCCAGCCCGATGCCTTGGGTTTTATCACATTTATATCCTGTATTTTGTTGCAGGCCTTGCCAATGATGCATCTTTAAAGCATTCCCCAGCTTAAAAGAGGCACTCGCGGCGCAGGCTCTGTGGAACGTTCTGCCTGACCAGGCCCCGCCAGATTTCCTTCTGTGCATCCAGATACGCTGGACCGGCTGCCAGTGAGGATTATTTTACTGACATACAAAGTGGGCAATGAAAACAGGGCCTCCGCACAAGTGATAATGATGCGAACGCTGAGAATCAACATGTGTTTGCTGAAGATTTCCAATTCCCAGTCCCGATAACAGGAGTTCCCTGGCTGCAAACCAGGGCCTATTTGTGAAGCTTTGTGTCATGACTCCTCCTAACGCACACAATTTCTTCAAGAATAATTGCAGAGCATTTGCCCCACAGGGAGGTTATAGGAAAACAACGGGAGAGGAGGAGGCCTCCTGCTCCTATTGGCCCTGTAGTAGGCATCTCTGGGGGTCGCCCCTGCTTTCATGTTCTGAGAGTCGACTCTCATCCTTCATCAGCCACCCTGTTCTGGGGCTCCTCCATAAGTCAGATGTGCAAATATAAGTGATGGGGGTTACAGATCCAGAGGGCCAAGGCACCGTGACAGTCACCAAGGACAGATCACTTTGCAGGAAGGAACAAGGGGTTTCAGCAAAAGCTTTTTTCCAGTGCTGGTGGTACAACATGCAGAACGTAAGGAGAACATCACTGAGTTGGCCCTATTTAAAAAGGCTGAAATAGCAGGTGCTTTGTTATATATATTTTATCAGAAGTTTTTTAAAAAATCTCTTTGAAATTAAAACAATCGGTATTATTTCTCTCACGTCACCTTCTCCCAATCCTCTAGAATCGGCATTCTAGAAGCATTTGCCACAAGTCAGAGAAACCAGCACAGAAGAGAGAGTGCTTGTCATGTTTGCTCTCAGTCAGGGAACTTGGGGTCGTGCCCCTGTTCTCTGTATTCATTCCTTCTCTTGGAAGATACAACGGAAATTGCATTGGACCAGGTAGGTTCTGGCCCTAGTGTCAGGGATTTCATTTACTTCGTTCCACAATCAACACCTACGGAAGCAGCAGTCAAGAAATCAGATACCCTATTGCAAGGGAGAAATGTGCTGCAAAAGACCTCTTTAGTGTTAAGAAGCAAAGACATCACTTTGAACACTAAGGTGCACATAACCCAAGCCATGGTGTTTTCAATCACCTCATATGCATGTGAACACTGGACAATGAATAAGAAGGTGGAAGAGTTAGGTGGAAGAGTTGATGCTTTTGAATTGTGTTGGTGAAGAATATTGATAATAGCATGGACTGCCAAAAGAACGAACAAATCTGTCCTGGAAGAAGTGCAGCCGGGATGCTCCTGGGAAGCGAGAATGGCCAGATGTCGTCTCACCTATTTTGGTCATGTTGTAAGAAGGGACCATTCCCTGGAGAAGGATGTCATGCTTGGTAAAGTAGGGGTCAACCAAAAAGGGAAGACCCTCAATGAGATGGATTGGCACAGTGGCTGTATTGATGGGCTCAAGCATAGCAAGGATTGTGAGGATGGGCCAGGACCAGGCAGTGTTTTGTTCTGTTGTACACAGGGTTGCTATGAGTCAGAGCCCACTTGACAGCACCTGACAACAACAGGTTCTGGTCCCAGATCTGACACATACACAATCCATCTGTCTGACTCTCAGTATCATCTTCTATAAATCTGGACTACTGATACTGACTTGCTTGCTTAAGGTTCCTGGGTGGTTCAGTTTGTGCTCGACTACCAACCTAAGGTCGGTGGTTCAAGCCCATTCAGTGGCACTAAGCAAGCAAGCCCTGGCAATCTGCTTCCATTAAGATTACAGCCGAGAAAGCCCTACACAGAACTTCACCTCTGTAATTCATGGGGTCAGCATCACTCAGAAGCAACTGAACAGTAACAGGTTTGCTTGGTTTTTTTTTTTTTTTTTCATTTTTTGGTTTTTACTAGCTTGCCTTACTGGGTTATTGTAAGGATTAAATTACATATGTTAATGAAAGCGCTTTGGAAGCTGCAGTTACTGATGATAATATTAAAATATTTTTGCAGACTGTTTTAGACGGGAGGGGTATCAGATGAGAGGGATGTCAACTTCCCTTTACTGGGCAAGTGAGGCCCCAGAGGACACACTATTTGCTCTCCATTGCCTCCCTAGTAGAAGTTAGATCTGAACCCTGCCCCAAGCCAGTAGTCTACTCCTACCTACGTCCTTGCTACCTCCAGCCTGGGGACAGTGGAGGTTCGGTGAGAGAATTCAACTTCCATGCAGGAGCCCCAGAGTTGATTCTTGGCCAGTGCACCTCAAGCACAGCCACCACCTGTCTGTCAGGTAAGGCTTATGTGTTGCTATGATGCCCAACGGGCTTCAGGAGCTTCTAGACTAAGATGCATTAGGAAGAAAGGCCTGGCAATCTACTTCTGAAAATTACCCAATGAAAACCTCATGGACCATAACAGTCTGATCTGCAACCAGTCGTGAAGATGACACAGGACCAGGCAGTATCTCCTTCCCTTGTGCGGTTGCTAGGAGTGGGGAGCTGACTCTACAGCAGCTAACAACATCACACAGAGTAACAAATATTTGCAGTTACTAGTCTTCTTTGTCTTTAACTTGTTGCCATCTTGCCATCTGCAAACACAAGTGAAGAGCCATTGAGTGTGACTCTTTAACCAAAGACAACATGCTCTCCTCAAAAGTAAACAGTGAGCTAGCAACGCAAGGACGCTGCTGCTTCCAGAAGATGTAAGGGCACGGCATTCGCATAAAGCCAGATTGGCAGCTTCCAGATCACCAACTGCACATGCGTCTCTCTGCAGAGCTGTTGCATATGGAATTTTCACCCCACCCTGGCATGATTAAAGGCCACTGGAGACTCACAACCCCAAAAGCCACTGATGACTTCAAGATTCAGATTTCCAAGGTTCTGTTAATTTCAGCTCTCCTGAGTTAATTCTAACTGTGAAAATTACATAGCTTGTCTTTTCTCTGCAACAGAGAAAATGTTCTACTCCATTTCAGATCTTCAGCCCAAGCAATCCAAGTGCAAGCCTACATTGGCCACAACTTCTTCCTATTTTCCCCAGAGGGTGTCTACCAGGATCTCTGCACCCAGCCAGGGTCGGTTGTTGTTTTGCTCTCCCTGAGCACCACAAGACATTCCAGTGGATGGGGGCTGGGACATTTTTACATGGGAGCATTTTATGGGACAATCTAAGCTCATAAACCTTTCTCCTCTCTCTGCACCACATATTTAACCACAGGAGACAACAGTGACACTTCCTTTTGACTGTCACCCAACTTGTGTGATGAACGGGAAAATCGACAATTGTAGAAGTAGCAGCTTTGGCCTCAAAGTGACCAAGCCTCCTCCCCCACCACCATTACACACACACATACACACACACACACAGGGTCTCCCTGTTCATAAACAGAATGCAAACACCTACCTACTTTCCACAGAGGTCAGTTCTGAGAATAAGAAGTTTTATGAAAGCACTTTGTGCATTATTTATATAGAAAGGATTAACAAGTAGAGCAAAAAACTACACAAAAGTCCATCCAATGATTCTTGCAGCTTCCTAAGAAAGCGGCCATCGTTTTTCACTTGGTCCAACCATGGGGAAAAATGCATCCTCCAGATGCCACTACTGTCTTAGAAGCTAAGTGAAGCGCATTCCCACAGTGGGTCATTGCAGTTCCTGAAGATGACCAGCAGATGGAAGTGTTGGTCCAAGGACGTGTATAGGGGGTTCACTGCAAGGCATGCTGTGTTAAAATGTCCCAAATCTTAACTTTCCATCTTTTCCTATCTTAGTTTGTGCTTTTAAGTTTTGTTAACTCAGTTCAAAGCCCACGGAGTAGCAACAGGAAAATGCTACCAAAAAGGCCTAAAATTGACATTTAAGAAACAACTATTGGTCTCTACCAGTATGGAGCAAAAGAGAATGAAGAAATAAAAGGCTCAAAGAAGAAACTAGTCCAGGAGATCACAGTCCACATCAACCACAGCCTCTTCTAACCTGAGACCAAAAGAACTAGATGGTGCCCAGCTACCACTATCTACCATTTTGACCAGGGTCCTGAATAGAATGGAAGAAAAATGTAGAACAAAATTCAAATTCCTAAAGAAGGCCAAACTTACTGGACCTATAGTGACTAGAGGAACCCCAGACTATTATTGCACAAAGATCACCTTTGAACTTGGAATGGAATGGACCTATTTCTGCAGGTCACCTTTCAGCCAAATAATAGATTGGCTTATAAAATAAAAGGTAATACCTGTGAGTAATGTGCTCCCTTAAACATTAACGATATGAGACCTAATGGTCAATATTTACCCAGAAGCACAGGGGAGAAGGAAAGGGAAGGGAAGGGAAGCTAGGTCAATTGAAACAGAAAAACAGAATGGAAATAATGATGACATATTGCAAAAACTGTCACCAACTGCACAGAACAATCTGTATAAAATTTGTTAAAGGGGAACCTAATTTGATATGTAAACTTTTACTTGTTGTTGTTAGGTGCCCTGGAGTAGGCTGCGACTCACAGAGACCTTTATGTACAAAACAAGAGAATAGCTGGGCAACAAGGTCTGATATACTGCCAAAGGATGATCCCCTCAGGTTGGAAGGCACTCCAAATACGACTGGGGTAAAGCAGCCTCCTCAAGAGTCTGTCTTAACGACGTGTATGGGGTGAAGTTTCTGGACCTTCATTTGCTGGTGAGGCATGCCTCAGAACAGGAAGAAACAGCTGCAAGCATTCATTAATAATGGGAACATGGAATGTACGACTGTGAATCTAGGAAACCTTTACCTAAAACACAGTAACACAATATTAAAAGAAAATGCCTACATCTCCTTGAGGCCTCAGCAGAATTCAGTGAGGGAATGGCATTCTCAGTGAGGCATCATCATCACTCCAAGGAGGTCCACGAAGGCAGCCGGCCTCTGGGAGCCAGGAAAACAACGCAGAAAACAGCTGCCTGCCTAAGCCCGCAAAGGTGCGGCAGGAAAAGCCACTAGAGAGGAGGTGGGGTTATTAAGGTTTTGTTTCCCCACATCAGAGATTAAGCACACTCGGGGAAGGGAGACAGGCGGGTGCGAAGAGGCCACATGGGCCGCGCTACCCAATCTGTTCGCACGCAATTGTCAACCCTCATAAACCCGCCCGGCGGGGGACGCGACGACCACGCAGCCCCGGAACCGCAGACTGATTGGAAACGACTGTTCTCGTTGCACAATAACGCAGGGTCGTAAAACAAACAGCAACAGGCCGCCTGCGCGGCAGGGGAATTTCTGAAGGGCTTGAAAACAAAAGTCGACAACTGTTCCCGCAAAGCGTCCAGAATCCTTTTATTCTCCACCTTCCTACGCTTCTTCCACATTTCATTATAATGACACCCCCACTTTCATCCCCACACCCCAAGCCCTCAGCCCTCTCTCGTCCACCCAACGCCTGCCTGAGCCACACACATGCCTCACGTAGGGGAAAAGGTGACCCAGGTTATTCGTTCTGAACCCCCTTGAGCCCAGGCAGCGTCGAGCTCCAACGCAGGAGCGGTGGCGCCGACCGCCCGGGGCTGGCTGCAAGCTGACCGCGGCTCGGGAACACGCTAGAGGGCGTCGCAGCCCCACGAATCTTAACCCCGCTCGCCCGCCCGCCGCTCGGGCTCCGGGTCCCCGACAGCGCAGCTGGAACCACAGCTCGCAAACCTTCGCCGAGAGGTTCTGCCCTACCACCGTCCTGCACCGACATCCCCTGGCCCTCGGCCCCGCTACACTCACACCAACACGGCGTGGGTAGCTAGCTACCCCTCCACGCCGGCGGCACCGGGTTTACTGGCGACGTCCGCTCCCTGTTCCTTGGTCCTGCCCGCCGCGTTCCTGGCCTCAGCGCTGCGGTGACGGTCCAGCCCCAAGCAAGACGCTTGGCGTTTGCATTGTTTTCTTCCGAGACCTGAGGAGGGGCCGGACTGGGTGGAGGGAGAGAGGCCGGGAGTGGACAGGGGCGTTTAGAATTACAGCCGTGCGCCAGCGCCTCCTATTGGCCCGAATGACGCAAGGCCGGGGCTGGGGCTCCCGGGGAAGCCAGAGGCTGCGCCCTCAGCGGCTTTTAACAGTCCGGCCTTCTCTAGTGCTGCCACTTCGCTCGACGCTTGTCCTTGCAGCGCTGGATTGAACTTTTCTCTCTGCTTTTGCCGGTGTACGGGGTTTGAGATGGGAAGCAGGGAAGAAAGCGCTTCAAGCCCACTATTCGCTTTATGCTCTCTCCCTTCTACAATCTACTTTTCCTACCTTCGCTGGCTTGGCATTGAGTGAAAAACAAAAGGAAACGCCGCCGAGCCACTGCTGCAAAGGCACCGGCAGAGACGGACTGGAGCGCAATCGGGAGCAGTTATCCTGGAACTCTGCGCTCCCTGTTTTAGGTAGAGCCAAGGAGACCCCTTCCCCGACGGCTGGTGCCAAGTGCTGACCCTGCCGGGGACGCTAAGAGCCGCACCTTTCAGTCCTCTAACCAATGTTTTAGCTTTTTATCCAGAATCTCTACTTTCCACCAGCGATATTTAAACCTGGTCGCAGCTCCCAAGAGGCCAGAGCAGCTCCCAGGAGGCCACAAGGAGTCCCGCCCGCCAGGGTCTGCAGGAAGGCGCTAGCCACCACGTCCCCAGAACGCGTCCCGGCGCGGAGCGCCGCCCACGTCCCGTCCCCAGGAGGCGCAAAACCCGCCCGCCTCGGCGCCAGACGCTTTTGCAGCTGGAAGGCCCGGCCCATTGCCCCTCCCCCGTCACCCCTCCCCAGTCCGCGCCGGGGGAGGAAAGCGGCCCTAGTCCTAGAGCCAGGAGCCACGGTTTTGCACCCGCTCCCTCTCAGTCTGAGGTCTAGAGATAAAGCCGAGGCACCAGGGTTCATTCTCCGCGCCCATTACTACCTCCTCTCCGCACACCAGGCCTAAAATGTAGCTGCACTTGAGTCAAACCAAAAACAGGACTGTACAAGAGCCTCCAAGCATCGACTAGACACCAAGTCAAATGAGTCTAGTCCGCCACACAAACACCCACACTCCTGCTTGTCGGGAAGTAAGGAAGGGCCTCTCACCCTGAAGACTGGGGAAAAGGAGGAGGCCAAAGGAGGGAGAAGGGAAGTATGCAATGCAACAGCGCCAGGGTATGTGTCGGTTAGATATGGGAGGATGTGAAAACCAGACCCCTGCCCCGTAGCGGGTGAGGTGCACACGCTCGGGCGCGCCTCCCCCCCCCCTCCTGCGGACCCCGGGGCTCCCCAAACCCTCCTAGAGTGTTGGTCCCCGAGCGGTGCGTCTGAGGACAGTGGTGCGCCTTTTCCCTAGGTGCCTCCGCTGCTCCAAAAAGCTGCTTAGTTAGTTCTGATCGGGAGCGACCGAGGCGAGGCGAGTTGGTCCAAAACGTTGAGCAATTCGGCCACAGAGCCAAAAAAGCTATTTCCCATGCAGCCCAGCCCAAGGCTTTTCCAAGTAACTGAGCCGGTCGCGGAGCGATCGGGACCTGATAGGGGGCCATCCACGCTCCCTCCCTAGCCCGCGTTTGCCTCCCACCTTTGGAGATGAAGTAAACGGTAGGTTCTTCCAGGCTCTCTTTCTGTAAATCTTTAGTCTTGGCCGGGTTGGGGGAAATGAAGTGTGGGACTCGCGCTCCGGCTGGAGAGACCGGCAGTGGACAAACAGCACTTTCTTCCCAGCTGAGACTCAGAACCAGGCCAACTAGTAGCTCCCGCACACCTAGCTGGGCCTCCCAGACTCCTAGCTCCCTCGAGCAGCCGTACGCTGACCCTCTGTCTGTCTGAGCTGGTCAAGACCCTTTCCGAACACAGCCGCTGAGCCCAGTTGTTTCGGAGCCAAGTGGACGCCGCCCGCTCCCCTGGCGCTGCTGGAGAAGTTACTCTCCCAAGTAAAAGTCGATTTCCAAGGGGAATAGACGGTGGAGGAAGGAGGGGCACGAGGCTGTGAAGGGGGCAAGGAGGCAAGCGCGAAGAGACCTAGAAAGACGACTGAAGAGGGTGAAAGCTAAGCAGGGCGCGCGCGCTGGCGGCGAGTGCCACGCATCCGGCGCGGAGAGCAGCACTGGGAACAGGGGGCGCGCTCCAGGGCTCAAGTTCCCGGAGGGAGAGAGAGAGCGGTTCGCCTCCCACCTTTCTGTCCTACCTGGAACCAGGTTTTTCCTTTCCGAGTTGTCCCTAACTTCCTTCCCCACAAGAAATTCGGTACTTTTCTGGTGATCTCTCCTCTCCTTCCTGAGGCTGGGACTGGCCAGCAGCAAAGTCCAGGCTTTACAGAATCGGTTCCACTGGAGGAGGGGAGCGAGCAGGGACGGGTGGGGGTGGAGGACCACCGCGCACAATAAGAGCCCCTAGGAGCGCAGCTCGAAATTCCTCAAATCCCAGTTGCTGGAATGCGAGGCGACGACGACTTCACTCCAGGCCAAATGTGTTTGTCATTACTCCAGACCGCCCGTCAGCGCCGCCGCCGCTGCCGCCCCCGCAACCCGAGCGCACTGCGGGGCCAGCGCCCGCTCTCCCTCGCACCTCTTTGACCCGGCAAATGGCTGGGAAGCGCCCCAAACTCTCGCTCAAGCCCACGCCCCCTCTGCTCGTTTTGCAGCGGCCGCAGTTGTGCTGAGTCTGGAGCCGACTCGCTCCGGGCGCTGCGCCGTCCAGTAATTACGCGCGCTCGGCAGGCGCCATGTGCACCCGGCCGGCTTCGGAGGTCCGCCCTCCTCCAGCTGAGCCTTTCACGCCTCTCCGGCCCCGAAGCCCCTTCCCGAGCCCCTTTCCTCTTCTCTCCGTTACCCAGCCGCGCTCCACACCGCGGGTTACAGTGCTGTCTAGCCAAACCGCGGGCGAGGAATGAAAATATTCATTAAAAACCTGTCGCCTTCCAGGACCCACTGCCAAGACGAGGGCAAAACACCCCTGCCCTCATCCCCAGGATTATTTGGTGCCCGTCCCAGTATCCACGAATACCACCCCCACCACCGAAAGAACCCTCAAAAATGTAAGCCTAAACAATTTCTTTAGGAGGCCATAGGGTTGTTAGAAAAATACAGCTTTTAAAAATAGGTCTGGAAAATGTGTATTGTGGTTTTGTGTTGTTTTGTTTTTTCATCCCCAGACTTTCTAACTCTATGCTTATCTTCCCCCAACCCCCAAGTGAGGGTTTATTCAGAATAAATTATTATCTGGACACAACTGGAATTCAACTTCTTTCTCCTTAACGCACAAAGTTTGAGTGAAGTTACTTCCAGCCCCACAGTCTGATCAAAGACTTCCTTTAGAAACAAAAATCATTTTTTTTTCTTCTCTCTTACCTTCTCTTGTGTCAATCCGTGATGAAAATCCTACACATCGAATAAAAAGTGTGTCCACGGCCTCCAGTCCTCCCCCGTAGTTCCCTTCTCTGTTTCTCTCCCTCTAGCTCCAACTGTAATGGGCTCAAAAACCGCGTTTTGTAATTGATTCAATGTTATAGTCTATCCTTC